CTTTAATTCAGTGGATTGTTAAGTGTCCTCCTCTTCCTGAGTGTGTGCTCCTGACTCCTAAAGGATCAAAGTAGTAGAACATATAATTTATATGTAAGAAGGGTCTATTCAAGACTGAAAGGCCTCTGTCAATCACTTTGGATAATGAGGATCTAAGACTATTCATCTGTTTCCACAAAAATCAATTTGTATCTTCTAAAATGGGATGGAGGTAAAAAGTGTCTTCCTTCCTTCCTTCCTTCCTTCCTTCCTTCCTTCCTTCCTTCCTTCCTTCCTTCCTTCCTTCCATTTAGGGCCTGGATTGATCTCTGACTAATATGCATTCTATAGGTTTAGAAAACGCCCTCTCCTTTTGTTCAGTGGCATCCAAAACTTGCCAGGAAATGAGAGAGAAAAGGACCTTTAAAGAGACAATGATTTTTTTTCTTCTCTTGGAAATGTTCCATATTATCTGAGCTTAAGGGTTTTTGTTTCCTCACTGAGCTACATTCTTCCCCCAATTGAATGAGTCTTCAGACTGGAGATTACTATCACATTGTTCTTCCCAACATGTTAAGGATTTCCAGTTCTAAATTGTTTACCTAGATACAGTTCTAAAATTACCAGTTTCTAGTTGAGACGGTGCAAGTGCTAATAACAAAGTGTTTTTCACTTTTTTCTTTCAGTATTTGGAAGATCCTTACATGGCTGCTAGAAATGACCATTTCTAAAATGTATAGCTTTTCCAAACGTTAAGTATGTTTTACATGGATGATATAAGACTAATGCATATAGATCCTGGTGAGAAATATATACTTGGATGCTTGGAAAAGTTTTCTCCATGCAGTATATCTTGAAAAAGATGTTTGATTCATAAGGAAGAAAAAAGGTGATTGAGAAGTAGTGTCCTCCTCCTCCACCTCCTCCTCCTCCTCCTCCTCCTCCTCCTCTTCCTCCTCGACTCTGTGGACTGTTGAATTGCACTACTGCAGTGGTTCTCAACCTGTGGGTCGGGACCCCATTTGGGGTCGAACGACCATTTCATTGGGGTTGCCAAACAACGCAGTCCGCCATTTTTTCCCCTTTTCCTTAGTTGTGCTACTCCCTTTTATTCTATTGGCTTTTGAAAGCCAATAGAATAGACTCTCTTGAATAGAGTCTAATTCTATTGGCTTTCAAAGCCAATAGGAATTGTCCAGGCTGTCTCTGCCCTGCTGAGCCCGCCAAAAGTCCCATTCTGCAAACAGTGCTGCACCAGTTGAGTAGTCCTTGACTTACGACCGGTTGAGTAGTCCTCGACTTACAACCGGTTGGGAGTCGCGGCATTAAAAAGGTTGAGAACCACTGCACTGCTGTATTGCACTATTCATACTAAGCCAAAGAAATCACTATTGTTATTATTCTGCTTAAAACAAATAAGGTTCTACATATGCCGTGATTCCATAGGGGCACATAGAAAGGATATGATACAGAATAAAAGATGGTTACAGTTTTCCTAGACATGAATCCCCCCCTTTTTTTTTTCTTTCCTCCATGTAAACAATTTCCTAGCCCTTCCAGCTATGACTGAAATTGGAATGTGGGCAAATATGCTTGGGGGGGGGTGTTTACGGTTCCAAAACGTGTTTTTCTGTCCCTCCCTCACAAATAGCAGAATGAAAGGAAGCTCTATAAACTCATCACTGTTGCAGAATAATAGAAAAATTGTGTTCTGTCCCTTTGCATAACCTAACAGGTTGCAGAATTCTGTACTTCCATAATGTAGAAAGTGGGTCATTTTATTTTATCACAGAGCTTTTGTTGGGAAATGATAAAATGACATAGTTTAGCTTCAGTAGACAGCCTACACTAACACTTCAGAATGATTGCAAACTATTTGCACTGCTTTAGGGGTATGATTGCTAAGGCTTTTTTTATTATTTTAAAATAGGGAGCTTTGTTCACCTAGTTAATACCTGGATAAGATCATCAGGAATCCCAGGGCTGAAGGATGAAATGGCACGTGGGAACACATGCTAGAAGAAGTCAGGGACTGCTCCCAAGAAAGGGTTTGATCAATGTAATCATCAGGAGCCATGCTTAGTTCAAAGTCACATTACCTTACATTTGTACCACAGGCTGCAGTGAGGTGTGGAAATGGGCAGCCAAGCTTAATGCTTTTACCAAAGCATTGCAAGCATCTAGACATCAGGCTGATGCTAAAACAGGAAAACTCAGGTTATGCTTGCTTGGGCAGCCTATATGCTAAAATTGGAACAATACAGAGCAGATTAGCCTGGCACCTATGCAAGAATGATGTAGGGTTTGGCAGGTGGAACATTTTGCCTTTTGAGAAGCTTTCCTAGGACACTGAAATGAGATGCAGGGCAAAGGAGTGAGACAGGACTAAATTTGATTTCAACTAAATGTTATTAAAATGATAAATTAAATGCAGTTAATGCTATTCTTCCCTATATATTTTTTCATTTATCCCTGTTTGGCAACAAATTCAAGATTTGTTCTTAAAACTGGAACCAGCATACAAATGTTTTAAATTACAATTCAGTTGTAGCACTTTGATTGTTCTTATGTGCTGAAGTCCTAAAGGTATATAGGAGCAGGTAAAGTCTTTCCTTTTTCTGATTATTTTGCAGTAAGTCTCAAAATAGATGCTATAGTGAGTTTTTCCAGTTCTTCCGTGCTCACTAAAGATTTGATTGGGGAAATCTAGTGAAAACGTAACAATTGGCTAATCAACTTCAGAATGAAATTTTGTTTAGGGCAGACGTAAATGAAAAATTAAAGACTGAGATTAAGGATAGTAGCAGAAGAGATAGTGAGAAGATTTTCTTTCTTTCTTTTAGATGTTTTGTAGTTTTACATAACAGAAAGATGGAATGTTTAATTGGGTTTCATGAAGTTCGTTTAATTGGGTTTCATGAAGTTCGTCTTAACTTATTTCGAGGACCCTTTTTCATGCAAATTATACATCCTTGTTTAAACCAGTACAACTTCCCTAGTGATGAGTCCTATCAAAATTAGCTCACACCTGTCTTTGTATCTTCAAGGAGAATAAATATAAAAATAGCGCTGAATTTTCATTTCTGTATATTCTATTCTTTCCCCCGTCCAATACAAAAAGAAGAATGTTTTTTAAAAAATAAATCCGTACCTCCAGGCTATGATTAAATGAGATTATTAGGGTTGGGTAAATTTTGCTGCATGATTTTAACTGTCAAAGTAGCACCTATTTGCAGTTTGCAAAAGTCTCTGGAGAAATAAATGTATTGGTGTTCAGGCTAGAGAGGAACGGTAGGAAGAGATATTTAATCTTGGCTTTCTTGACATCAGTTTAACAGTCGGCAGTTTCCAAGTTATTAAAGGTTTGCCAAAAGTACCATTAGCTAGAATCTGGCATGAAACTTTTAGGGATTTAATGTGGGGGTTTTTTTTGGTTTTTTTTTTTTGTTTTTTGTTTTTTTTTGTAAAAGCATTTGCAAAAGTTCGTTGGAATTTAAAAGAAAGTAAGGTGTCCCTTAATGCATTAACTTTCAGGAACACTGGTCGTTGTTCCTTTATGTTGTTGCCAATTTTTCCTTTTCTTTAAGCTAATCTTATGTTATAATGCAGATAAACATCCAGAATTTTTTCTCCTTCTCATTGAAGTCATGCTTGCTGACATATTGCTGCACAATATGATTCATTCTTTCCATTCTTTGTCCTTTCCTAATTGATTAAGAGGATTTTTATTACTAACTGATTAATCTTGGTGGCTTTTGCTGGATATTATATTTTCTTCTCTGTTGACAAAATATCTATGCCTTGAGTGTGAAGCTTCTGTATCAATATATAATCTCAGCTGAAAACATAAATCAGTTATGGAATGCATTAAATTAATTCATTAATCACAGGTTCTGGTGAGAAAATAAGTCTCCAATATTTTTTATCTATTTTCCTCTATTCAAATATCTGAAAATAAAATCAATTGGATGGATGGATGGATGGGTGGGTGGGTGGGTGGGTGGATGGATGGATAGATAGATAGATAGATAGATAGATAGATAGATAGATAGATAGATAGATAGATAGCAGGCAGGCAGGCAGGAATTAATAACCATTCATAATGTTTCTATTACCAAGCCTGGATTCAAACTACAATCTTTCCAACAACAGTGCTATTCCTAAAAAATACAAAATGATTTATTTCTCATAGATCATATCAAGATTTTGTGTGATTCAGTTCAATTTATTGAACTGATCATAATTGGTAGGGTTCAAATGAAAAGCTAAACCAACATTCATAGTTTAAAAGTGATAATGGAGAAGCTCACCAAACCAATGATCTAAAACTAAACTGAACTCTGCTGTATAAACAATTAAAAACTTGTGTAATCCATAACTGTAGTTGGTGATCTTCTTCCCAATGAAAAGCAAATCTTGAAAGAAAACTATCCTGATCCTGATCTGGTGTGCCAATGAGTTCCTTATTCTATTCTCAACTGTTTTCTCAAGTGCAGACAGAGAATTCCCTAGTAAGAAAGTTAGCAATTTTGTGTCTAAAAATTAATCTGTGTTGTTCATAGGATCACAGGATTAAGCTATTTAGACCAGTGTTTCTTAACTTTGGCCACTTTTAGACTTCAATTCCCAGAATTCCCCAGTTAGCCATGCTGGCTAAGAAATTCTAGGAGTTAATCGTCATTGTCATCATCATCCCCATACATTTTGAATAAAAAATTCTGGATTTTTTAATCGCATAGATCATGGATGAATTTCCCACCTGCCTTAGTTTTTTAAATAAGAATCAATTGTAAGGTCCTCCTACCATATGCTCTGCTTGAACACATGGACTCAGAAAACTCATTTATGCATTTTGTCTTACTCTTTTTTTCTCTTAATCTTACTTCAACTTTACAGATATGAAATTGTCCAGAAATTATTCTAACAACAGATGTCTACTGCCAGATGTTTACATTTTCATGTGTAATTATTTTGAGATTCATTATTAATGTATTATTTTATTTTATTTCCCCTTGTCTTAGGTATGATTATCGTGAAATGCTGCACAATGCCACTTTCTGTCTGGTCCCCCGTGGCCGGAGGCTTGGATCCTTCAGGTTCTTGGAGGCCCTGCAGGTAAAAACAATAGACATTTTAGTACTATTTAAACTTTTTTCCCCCTCAAGTAAAATTCTGTCCTGGGTGTTAACGTGGTAGGGAAAGGAAGAGGAGAAGAGAGATTATATTTCAGTGGAATGACTTGCCTTCAGAAATTGTGGGTGCTCCAACACTGGAGAATTTAAAAAAGAGATTGGATAGCTAATTGTCCAGAATAGTATAAAGTCTCCTGCTTGAGCAAGAGGCTGGATAAGAACTGGGGTCCCCAACCCCCAGGCCATGGATCAGTAAGGATCCATGGCCTGCTAGGAAATGAGCCTCACAGCTGGAGGTGAGATGCAGGTGAGCGAATGAAGCTTCATCGGTATTTGCAGCCACTGCCAGAATGGAACAATTCACAGTTGCTGTCTCACCTCTGCCTGTTCATCCTGGCCAATTTACCTCAGGCGACTTACTCAGGACAATTCACGTGAGTGAGAGACTGTTATTTCCCCAAGCCAAATGCCAGAGGCCAGAGGAACCTGCTTCTCCTCCTCCTTTTCTCTCTCCCTCTCTCTCCCTCCCTCCCTCCTCCATACATGATAGAAACAGGCTTTCACAGATATACATGGAGAAGGGAGGATATGTGGATGCACAGAGAAGGGAGGATGTATGGATGCACGAAGGGAGGTGGATCTTTGGATGAGCTGAGGTTTGCGCACATCTACATGGAGAGGGAAGAATGTATGGATTCGCCCACCAAGAGAATGTGTCTCCTGGAGCAGCATTGGAGAATTGGAAGGGCCTAGGTGAGGAGAGGGAGTGAGGGCTGGAGTAGGAAACCATGCATGTAATTGACTATATTTACCATAACTATTTCACTGATTGGCGATTAAAAGCGCACTCTCCTGAAAGGAGGTTTCCACTGGTTATTCTGAAGAACTTAAAAAAGGCTTGTGAAAGGGAAAAATAAAAAGACAGAATTAAGGGTCCAAAAAGTTCGCTTTGCAACTATCCTTCCTTCCTTCCTTCCTTCCTTCCTTCCTTCCTTCCTTCCTTCCTTCCTTCCTGCCTGCCTGCCTGCCTGCCTTCCTTCCTTCCTGCCTTCCTTCCCTCTTTACAAGCCTCTTTGAAGTTCTTCAAATCAACCAGTAGCAGAAACCTCCAACTTTCAGGAGGGTGTGCTTTTCATTACCAATCAATGAAACAGTTTTGTTAAATATACTCAATAGTTGCAGAAAAAAAACAACCCCAGGGCTCCCACTGATTCTGCATTATGGTGAGTTTTATTATTTCATTATATATTACAATATAATAATAATAGAAATAAAGTTCACAATAAATGTAATGTGCTTGAATCATCCTGAAACCTCCCCTACACCCAAGTCTTTGGAAGAATTGTCTTCCATGAAACCAGTCAATGGCGCCAAAAGAGTTGGGAACCACTGGACTAGAAGACCTCTAAAGTCCTTTCCAACTCTATTCTTCCGTTTTTCTGCATCCATTCCTCTTCAGGAGAGGTTAGCAGAGGCTCACAGGAGTTTCTCACCATCAAGAGGTACTATTATATTTCCTTAAAGGTTGTTCTAGATCAGGGGGAGGCAACCTTGGCCCTTTTATGACTCGTGGACTTCAACTCCGAGAATTCCTGAGCCAGCACAGCTCAGCTTGGAAACCTCTCCCTTTCCCCTCAGCATGGCTGGCTCAGGAATTCTGGGAGTTGAAATCCACGAGTCATAAAAGAGCCAAGGTTGCCCTGCCCAAGACCATTGGACAAATAGAGATAGAAATATTAGCAAAGATGGTGAAATTTTTTACTGAAAATATATATCACTTAGTATATATTGGCTCTCAGAGCCAGAAAACAACATTGACCTATCACATATTTAGAAGATATGAAGTTCCACGAAGAGATTTGGATGTTTTGTTGTTTTTTTTAACTGAGATGTGTGAATTTGAAGACTTACACTATAAATTTTTTACACTTCCACTGAAGTGGAATGGGAAAACATGTTTCAGTTTTTAGCAGTCCAGGTCAATGTGGGTTTTGAGGTTTATATGGAGTCACAGGTTTACAAAATTAACCTAGTTTTTCACACTGCACGCTAAATAAGTCTTAAAAGGTAATTTCTATTTGTTAGACATTCTCAAGGAAAGGAAGCTGCAGGACAAAGTGAATGCACAATTAAAATGATGCAAAATAAAACAATTTACCCACTCCATTCAAGACATGTTTTGGAGAATTATCTTGCTGCTATAAAGTCTCTGTTTGACAATGCAGTGACACGAGAATTTTACAAAAAAGATACTAAAAATTGCACAGTTAAATATAGGAAGCAGAATTATCCAGTTCACACAGCATGCATTTCACTTATTTTTTCCACTATCCCTAACATCTGTTTTTGCCCCTAATCCTAATCCTAGTTTAATTTTCTTTGGCAATAGGATTTTCCCATGGATTTTACTGTAGTCCATAAAGAAGTCTGAACGAAAAGCTATCACCTTTGAAATCCTTACAGAAGTCCAAGAAATGAGATGTCACTATCGCTGTCCTTAGAGAATCACTGAGAAACTGTTCCTAAAATCAGTTTTTGGCCCTGAGTCAAAGGAGACCTAGCCCTGACCCTAACACTATTCCTACCCTACTTCTATTTCCATTGGCAATGGAAATTTCCTATGCATTTTCCTATAGTCCATAAAGAAATCAGAAGAAAAGCTATCACATGCTCTTTCCTTAGAGAACCTCTAAGAATATATCTCTAACATCAGTTCTTGTCTCTGATTCCAAGCAAACCTAACCCTAACTTTAACATTTACCCTACCCTTAGCACTACTTTTCTTTTCATTATCAATCACATTTTCCCATGTAATTTACTCTGCTCCACAAAGAAGTCCAAACAAAAGCTGTAATCTTCGCTATCCTTAGAGAATTTCTAACAAATCTATCCCAGACTTCAGTTTTTACTCCTGTCTCCAAGGAAATCTAACCCTAACCCTAATTTCAATGGGTAATGGTAATTTGCAGTCAGATTTTCCCGTGTATTTTACTGTGGTCCACACACAGATTTGAACGAAAAGCCATCATGTTCTCTTTCATTAGAGAACCTCTAAGAATTTATCTCTAGCATCAATTGATCTAACCCTATCCCTAATTCTTAACATATTTTCATTTGCAATAGTGATGAATATTTTCATTTTCATTGACAATGTATTCCCATGTATTTTATTCTGGTCCAAAAAGAGGTCCGGACAAAAAGTTGTTACATTCTCTTTCCTTAGAGAAGCTCTAAGAATCTATCTCTAACACCACTTTTCGGCACATTTTATTGGTTGAAAATCCCAGTCTCTATTTATGTAGAATATCCCAATCAATTGAACCACTATTGAACTATTGAACCACTCTCATCACATCTGTATTTTTTTTAATGCATGTGTAAAAATGTGTTGCCAAAGGATTCTTGCTGGTGGAAGGTTATTTCTACAAACTCCTCTTTCTGGAAAAGTACAGCTTGTTAATTGTTCATTGAAATTCTTATTCTTAACAGAATAAGAATTGGAAGGGAACTTGGAGGTCTTCTAGTCTTCCAATCCAACTCCCTGCTTGAGCAGGAGACCCCATACCATTGCAGAAAAATGGTTGTCCAGGCTCTTCATAATAACATCCAGTGATAGAGCCCCCACAACTTCCTAAGGCACATCATTCCACTAATTAATAGTTCTCACTGTCAGGAAATTTCTCCTTAATTGTAGGTTGCATCTCTCCTTTGCTTTGGAGAATAGGTTGATCCCCTCTTTTTTGTGGCAGCCCCTTAAATATTGGAACACTTGCTATCATGTCACCCACTAGTCCTTCTCATTGAACTAGGCATGCCCAATTCCTGCAATTTAATTTTGAAACTGTCCACCCCCATATTTTTTGTACAGGCTGCCTGTATTCCTGTAATGCTCAGCAATGGATGGGAACTTCCGTTCTCAGAGGTGATTAATTGGAATCAAGCTGCCGTCATAGGAGATGAGAGATTGTTACTACAGGTAAGGCGTGGGCAAATGGCGGGAAAACAGTGGCCTTCATCCAGTCTGTTGACAAGAGCAGTCATCTTCTCTACTTTCAGGAAAGATACATCCAAAAGGTCATGGCCATAAAAGAGATTTTTATCAGCCAGGATTTGTCTGTGTCATTGTGAATATTAACTCATTTAATAAAGCATTATTCACTTTCTGACATGAAGGTCATTCCAGCTTCCAAATGTCTTAATTAAAAATGTAGCTGCATCTGTTATTTTTTTTATATATAGGTGTGTGGAAGAGCTCGAGTTGAAAGCTCTTGCCATACAAAAGTGATTTGCAGTGTCAAAATATTTATAGTCCTGATATTTCTCATCCTAAATTAGGGTTTGGGGCAACCTACATATTATTCTCACATGTGTTTATCTCTAATTCTGAGTTCTTTCTGAATTTAGCTTCTAAATATTAAAAAGCACTCAAGATACATATTTAAAAGCTTCATGTTTTACTGTTGAGATATCTGCAGTATTTTATGAGCCTTTACAACGGTACAGAAGATTTAAGTTGCTTCGAGTCAAACCATGAAATTTGAAAAGTGCGACATTTGGTAGATAACTAAGTTCTGATTCATATTTGATTGATTGATTGATTGATCACATTTATATGGCTGCCCATCTCACAGGAGTGATTCTGGCTGGTGTAATATTAATCCAGGAGATGCAGATCCCCCTGTTTACATGTAGAAATGTACAAAAGATCCTCATTTATTTCTGCATGAGAGTCTTCCAGTCTCTTTTCTCTTTCTCTTAACTTTTGTCTTCCCCTACCAAATATTTTCTAGATATCCTTAAGGTTTGGAAATCCTTCCCTGCTTTAACAAGAGTCATAGACATTATAGCTGGAAGGCACCAGAATGGAAAAGGCAAATGTAATTTATATGGTTTAGTTCCATGAAGAGCAGAGTGATGGGTGTGACTGTTGCATGCAATAAAGAGGGAAGAGTGACTCCCTTGTTTAAGTCAACCTCTGTCATAGTTTTTGGGAAGAAAAAAAAAACAGAGGCTGTTTCACTTCCTTTCATTCTGGCGTTTTGTAAAGACTCGGCATCCAGTGGGGGAAAAAAACCAAATTACTGGATTATTCTGGGATATTGTTCTCTCCTTTACAAATCTCCTTTGAAGAATTTGGAGCTAATCTCATGCTTTTAAACACTTAAATAGAAATGAAAGAAATGGCCCAAATCGCTACTTTTACACTAATAGAGGCTATTGGGTCTTTCTTATAAGTAGTCCTCCAGTTATAACCATTTGTTTAGCGACCATTCCAATGACAATGAAAAAGGTAACTTGTGATAGGTTATGACTGTTGCAGCATTCCCATGATCACATGATCAAAATTAGGGCGCTTGGCACAACCGGCCTGTATTTGCAAAAGTTGCACCATGCTGTGGGGTCAGGTGATCGACATTTGACGCTTTCCTAGTATTCGGACAAGCAAAGACAATAGGAGAAGCTGAATTTACTAAAATGGATTCTCAACCTTGGCAACTTTAAGACTTGTGGACTTCAACTCCCAGAATTCCTCAGCCCTCTTTGCTGGCTGAGGAATTCTGGGAGTTGAAGTCCAAAAGTCTTAAAGTTGCCAAGGTTGAGGATCCCTGTAAAGTTGCCAAGGTTGAGGACCCCATGATACACTTAACAACTGTAGTGATTTGCTTAACGACCATGGTGAAAAGGTCATGACATTTGGCGCAACTCACTCAACAACTGTGTTGCTAAGCAGTGGAAATCCTGGTTCTAACTGGTGACAAGTCAAGGGCTACTTGTATTTCTACCACTGGGAAAAAAAAAACCTGTCATCCAAGGAAAGTCATTTTGTGGCTTAAGCCCAGTTCTTTTCTGAAAGAGTGTTTCTGGATTCAGAGCTACTCTCCAATTTGTTAGAAGAGGAGGGAGGAGAGGGAAGATGCCTCTGAGACCCTTTTAATGGGAGACTTCAAGGAATAAACCTGAATTCCTTTTCATGCGAGGCACGTGCTGCACCGCCAGGCGTGTGACCAACATATATTTAAATCTGGCAAAAATATAAAAATCTACACCATGCCTAACATATTTAGCTGCTGAAGGTAAGAGAAGAAGGCCGTGCAGAATTCCAAATATCTATGAATGTCCCCTGCCTCCCAAGAGTACATTAATATTCTGATCTTTGTTGTTTCCTGTAATGCAGAATTGATTATCTTCACAGCTGCTTCCTTACTAGAACAGCTACTATACTATTATTAACAATGGTTTTTAAAGAGCTGGCGTGAAGCCCAAATGTCTGCTTTGGGAAATGTTTTTGTTGCATTACAGTTTTTCATTTCCCAGTTTAGATGCACTCGGATGTTTTTATTTACATATTCTCCATACTGTCATGCTGCTCCAGCTTCAGACAGGCTGAAGCCACTTTCCCTGTTGTCATTTTAGCATCACTTTTCTCCTTCCTTGTTGTGGTATCCGTGGCCTGCTATTAAGGCATCATCCTGTCCTAATAATTCTCTTGTATTCATAGCAGGTCAGCATCAACTCATCCTTGCCCGCACCCCTCTTGTAAGCCAAGAGATGAAGAGTAAATAGCCAAATGAAATTAAAAACAGAAGCCCCAGTTTGTGTTGTAAGTGAGTCAACAGGCTGCAGAAAACACAAGCAGTCCTCTGCTAACAACCCCAGCTGTGACTGTAATTTCCATCACTAAAGGAAGTGGTTGTTAAGTAAGCAAGTCATACTTGTTTTATGATCTTTTTCCCATGGTTGTTAAGTGAATCACTGCAGTTGTTAAGTGACCTTGTGCTCATTAAGCCAAGCCAACTTTCCCCGTTAAGTTTGCTCTTCGGAAACCAATTGGGAAGTTGTCAAATGACAAGTCATGTGATCCTCCAGGATACTTCAACCATTGTAAATACATGTGCCCAAATTTTGATCATGTGACCATTGGGATGCCACTGTATGTGTGAGGATTGATCATAAGTCACTTAATACTGTTGTAATTTTGAATGGTCGCTAAACAGATAGTTGTAAGTTGAGGACTGCTTGTATTCTAAGCTTGCCTCTCTTCACTTTCCCATCAAACTTTGAAGATATCAAAGATATCCCTTTCACCCAACTGTTCTTTTCATATGCAGAGATAGATAAAAAGATTTATCTCAAGATTTGAAGAAAAATAACGAAATGCAGTCAATTAAACATAATGCAGAACTTTTTATTTATTTATTTGAATTTATTAGCCCACCCCCAACTCCAATGGACATATAACAAATAATTGCCTAAAATGTAAATGTTACCAAAATCTACCTGAAAATTCATACATTCATGCCAATTTATAAATTCACAAGATTTCTTTGCTGGGCGCCTTAGAATTGTAAAACCAATTAAATAGGCTGACTTTTTAAAAAAAACATAAGCTGCAATTCTAAATGGACTAAGTAATGAATAGCTCCCATTGAAAAGATAGGGTGTTAGGACCAAATGTGTAATATTGCACAGTTAAAAGTTTATTGTATGTGTGAAATGATGTAATCTCTTGAAAAGGTAGCTAATCTATTTTAATTTTATCAGTAAATGGGATTTATCTTTTCTGCATAATAATAAAGCATTTTATTTCCATATTTCTTACCTTTCTTCTACCTATCTCTCCCTCTTGGTGCTCACTCCTGTAAAATATATGCTCAGTCAAAAACCACGTAGTGAGCTTCAGGTTTAAATTCAGGATTTGAACCTAAGTCTTTCCCGTCCTGGACTGAGAGTTAATCATGTGGATTCCCTGGCTTATTAAAGTATGAAGACATTTAGCTTCCTATTCAGACCACACCATTTAATTAATTATTTTATTTCTTAAGCTAAACCTACCTTGGTAAAGAGCTATCACGCTCTTTCAAGAAAATGTAAAGCCAACCTTAAAATCAGAGATATTAAAAAGCTCCAATGTAAAAGAGTTAAAATTAATCGTGCAAAGCCTGTTTTGGATATTTTGGGTTTCTAGTGTAATGGGAAATGCATCCTAAAGAACTTAGGCTAGACCTTGAGCCTCCATTCAATATCTCAACCTCAGGTTACATGGAAAAGGTGTTCTCAAGTGGTCTGGAAGAAAGCCATATAAAGTTTTAACAATAATGGCCATCAGTTTCCATTTCACTCAGCAAAATAAATAAATAAATAAATTGGCGGGCATTTAGCCCAGTTATAATGTGGTTTCTTTCAAGTGGTGTGGAGGCCTAGAGGTGGAGCTCTTGCCTCACAATCAGGAGGCTGTGAGTTCAATCCTAGCTAGCAGCAGATATTTCTTTCCTGGTGCAAAGAGAAAATATCTGCTGTGAGCTATGTGTAGGCGTCAGGAAGGGCATCCGACCAGTAAACGCTCAGCTCCATTCAGTCACCATGGCTTCATCCCAATGCAAGGGATTACAGGATCATTAAAAGAAAAAAATGTGGTTTCTTTCAGTCCTTTAGATAAGATAATCTTTATTGTCATTTTTATACTGTGGGCACAATGGCACACATCAAAAATGAAATTTAGTTTCCCACTCTCAAAGTGAAACACATACATGGAATCCAATCAACTGCTGTATTCTGTGCTAGACAGAACCAGTCTATGTGGTGTGTCTTACGCTTGATGGGCCTGGAGTTTGCCCCACCCTCATCACTTTAAGGACATTTTCCATCCAGGAAAGAATGTCCTAGCTCCACTTTAGAAAGCCAGAAGGAGATCACCATTCAATGGCATTTCTCAGACTGTTCTTTTGAGGGGAGTATAACTCCATTTAAAACCAGGAGAGTCACAACTTCTCCAGAATTGTGATTCCTTATAATGTGTACCTCTGTGCCTAGATTCTGTTTCAATTTATAATCAGCCATCTAGCAATAGCAATAGCACTTAGACTTATATACCACTTCACAGTGCTTTACAGCCTTCTCTGAGCATATTGCCCTCAACAATCTGGGTCCTCATTTTACTGACCTCAGAAGCATGGAAGTCTGAGTCAACCTTGAGCC